TCATGAGAGGTCGGATGTCGGACAACACAATGTCATTCCGCGAAGTTTGGTAACAGTCACGGAGCATGCATTGCGTGTGTCTCCGCTATGGGAAGCCGCGCCTTTCTGTTTAATAAATTAATGTGAGTAAATCCCGCCGTAGCACGCTCAGGTTGCAATGACGAAGCTCTTGGGAAAGAGGTCGTTTGAACGACAAGAAGTTGATCGAAGGCATCCTCCACCTCTTTAAGAGCAGAGAAACGTGATGATCTAATCATGTATTGCTTGTATGATAAGGAAAGTTTCAATCGACATGGAGTTCGACCACTTGTAGGGCCGCCGCATAGAACAAGGTGATCATGAGCATTAATCTACAATTAATTCTATGAGAACATTAATAGTTTTCTGTAAAATTAGTGTGTCAATCATCTCAACGACAATTCACCAAGTCGCTGGAGGGTTGCGTGAGCACTATTTGTGCGAGAGAAGCCGTTAAGAGCATCGCTGAGAAGGTGGCGATTATTGCTAGATCATTGGCGTGATAGCTAGAACCCTGATTGATCCGCAGAGAAATGCCTATGCTCGAATCCCGGACCAAATTGCTCCCAAAACTAGAGTCCAGCCGACTACAGTAGGGTGCCATAGAGAACTTGGAAGATGTGACCGATGATTGAGTTCAACGGAGGCGCCTATGTGGTGGAGCATGGGCAATCAGAATGGACTTTTTTCGTGTTCTACGAAAAACCTGAGTCACGCTTTTCGTAGGACACGGAAAGAGTCCATTCTCGTCTGGTTACCAGTCTGATGGAAAAAAGTGGAAAAAAATCGGTTAAAATTTTGATGTTACGTCGTGGGGTTCTCTTGAAGCATCTTCCTAAGATTGACTCAGCAACGTGTGAGTTGTAATGGGTGTCTGGCAGCTTGAAAACGACAATTGTGTAACGTTACAAAATTTGTCTTTATCGATCACAATGGCGCGCGCTAAAATGATAGCAAGAATCGATCGCTCGATCGATACTGGGCATACGAAGCGCAAGCCCATTGACAAACCTTTCAAGGCTTCCTTCAGACTTCGACTACCATGGGACGCGTCCGCACTAAGACCGTTAAGCGTGCTGCTAGGCACATTGTTGAGAAGTACTACAGCAAACTCACCCTTGACTTCCAGCTCAACAAGAAGATCTCTGAGGAGGTTGCCATCATCCCCTCTAAGAGGCTTAGGAACAAGATTGCTGGTTTCGTCACCCATCTCATGAAGCGTATCCAAAAGTGAGTTTCCATTTTATGCAACCGGCACGACTGTTATTATTTTTCGCCTTTCAGGGGACCCGTCCGTGGTATCTCCCTTAAGCTTCAGGAGGAGGAGCGCGAGCGCAAGATGGACTTCGTGCCTGAGAAGTCTGAGGTTGACACTGAGCATATCGTCGTTGATACCGACACTGCTGAGATGCTCAAGTAAGGACTGCCGTCTCACTAGACGGAGGAAGGCACCTAATTAATTGAGTTATAGTGGACAGTCGACAATCACTGTCGAAGGCAGGCGCTTTATGCACCACTGCACTCTTGCTGTTTTTTATGTTTCTGTTTATTGTGTTTCTTTTCTCAGGGAACTCAACATGGACCAGCTCCCTAACATCGAGGTCTCCGACCGCATGGGTTATGCGCGTCGTCGTTATTAGATGGTTGGTGTCTGCAAGTAGCCGTTGTTGGAAGTCCTTTTCTTCCCTTGATGCTGTGTTGATTTACTTCAAGTGAATGGAAGCCTTAAACTGTTGTTGGTCTGTGATGAATGGCTCCTTTTTTGAACGCTTGGCTTCTGATTATCAATGAAGCGAACGAGCCGCCACTTCTGAGACCAATTGATTGATTTAACATGATGATACCCATTTGAATACTTGCTACGCTCGACCTCAGGGTGTGACGAATTTGCAACCACCAAGATCTCTGATTAATCTAAATGCTTATCATGGCTCTCTGTAACTTGCCTAGATGCTTATCATGGGACTCTCTAGGTTGCCTGAATGGTTTTTATGGCACTCTCTAGGTTGCCTGAATGGTTTTTATGGCACTCTCTAGGTTGTCTAAAGGCTCTTCATGGCACTCTTTAGCTTGCCTAAATGCTCTTTATGGCACTCTCTGGGTTGCCTAAATGCTCATCATGGCACTCTCTAGGTTGCCTGAATGCTTATCAACGCACTCTCTAGGTTGCCTAAATACTCTTTATGGCACTCTTTAGGTTGCCTAGATGCTCATCATGGCACTCTCTAGGTTGCCTAAATGCTCTTTATGGCACTCTTTAGGTTGCCTGAATGATTATCATGGCACTTTAGGTCGTAGTCAGTTGTGAGATTTATGTTGATGATGATACTCCTTTGAATACTTGATACGCTCGACCTCAGGGTGTGACGAATCTGCAATCACCAGGATCTCTCGAGTTTATCAGATTGTGCGCTGATCGGTATCAATTCATCTCGGTCGTTGAAGTGTTCGACTGAGTTCCCGATCGATCGCTAAAACGAACCTGTGTTCGTCTTGAACCCCAAGGAACTGCAAGGGATCTGTTCAGTGGCGAATTCGGACGGAATATTCTGATCTATGACTTGGTAATCATTCTCCACTGTGCAATTCAACCGCTTGTGTGCTCGTGGCCATATGAGTAAAATCCACTTCATGAGAGGAGTGAGCGATGCCGCTGAATAAATAATAAAATTTGTGGTACCTCTGGTTCTCGGCCGTTTGCGGTCAGGCGACAAACCAATAGTTTGTGTTTAGTTGGCTTGTATATGAGTCCGACGTACACAGCACTTGACTGCGTCTGTTTTGTGGTACCAATCATCGTCGTGGTAAATCAGTCGAAAAGTTTAATAGGGTGAACTGATCCCTCGTGAGCTGATTTGAATCGGTGCTAGTTTAACCAAGCCGTGTTGTCGGCAGTGGACTTTGATCACACTATAGGACTATGACCTCTAGGAGTATGACCCTGAGGACTCTTCATCACACATATCTGACGTTTATTAACAACACACACACTGACGTTTATTCACAACAAACACACTGACGTTTATTAACAACACACACGGAACGTCCGTGGCGGACGTTTATCAGGGCGAGCGAGATTTCTTCGTCCAGCAACGTCGTCGTTCTCTTCCTGTATGTACGCATAACAAGAGCATGGGGAGGGACTAATGGAGCTTCTTGAGCTATATTATCATCACATCTGGGGTGCCACAGACTGTTACAATTGACGAAAGAAAGAGAAGTTCGGATGCCATCTGATGGATGGTGACGTGACGCGGCGCTGGACGGCCGTGTCACACTCTACTATCACCATAAGCTACTACTACTTCTACTATGCATATCATTGCTGTAACCGTTGCCGCTTTATGTGCTGTAACTTTGTACGGTTGCAGTAGCAAAACTACCACCACCACTACTACTACGGCTCCCTCCGTGGTGAGCACTACAACTAGAAGTCCCACGAGCACTCCAAGTGGGAACAAAACCACTACTACAACGACCACTAGTACTCCCGGGAAGATTTCTTGTTTGTCCACGTCATGCACAGCTAAGACTCACCAAGGCGACTACTGTATGAACGTTGTGACGATTAACGGTACAGTTCACGGCCACTGCCACGCCAACACGACTGTTTCCTGCATATGCGATGTTCCCGAGCCTATTTCCACTTCTGGTCCTGATCCCTGTATCCCCGCTGTGGATTGTAGACACCCTAAGTGTGCTGGTAACAACGATGATTATTGTCAGAATTCTCGTCCGGGATTCCCGGGGAACTGCCATGTTGATATCAAGGTGGCGTGTAGTTGCAGTGCTGAGAATTTGAGGGGATGAAAATGCTGCCAGATGTGCAGTACATACACAATATTTTTATTCAATTTTCTGACCATCCTCTGTACCTATTAGGATGGCATCCTAATAGGCGCACATCATTACTTCATCCGTTTTCATCGGATGCGTTTCTTGTGTTTGATAGTTGTTAATAAACGTCAGTGTGTGTGTTGTGAATAAACGTCAGTGTGTGTGTTGTGAATAAACGTCAGTGTGTGTGTTGTGAATAAACGTCAGTGTGTGTGTGTTGTTAATAAACGTCAGTGTGTGTGTTGTTAATAAACGTCAGTGTGTGTGTTGTGAATAAACGTCAGTGTGTGTGTTGTTAATAAACGTCAGTGTGTGTGGTGTGAATAAACGTCAGTGTGTGTGTTGTCAATAAACGTCATGTCACAAATTTTGTGATGCCTTGTAAGGCACTGCCTTCTTCAAACTCGCAGCATTTTCATGCTGGTGATATTGGAGCTCGCCGAGCTCAGCTCGGGCCTCGTCAACAGAGGCCGCTCAAAACGGTCGATGAGGGGAGCTCTGGGCTAGATGAGTGATGATGGATATTAGTATAAAAGTCAATCGATGTGCATGTGCAGGATATCGTCTATCGATTTGTGAAGGAAAATTCAGCTGAGGTTTATGTGGGATAGTAGGTTGGATAATATATTAATAAAGCGATGGGGGGTGGGGGGATTGAACCCGGCTTAGGTAGGTAGTACCTAGTCCTACTAGGTACCGAGTCCTTCCTGTATTGTTATGAGTATCGACTACTCAATAGTCATCACACCGCTGACCGATCGATGTGTGATGACCCTCACCTCCCTTTTGGGAGGGTCTTGCCCTTCAGCCCATTGTTAGAGGTCTGTAGACGTTGATCGAGAACAGAGCTTGGTGGGAGTATCTTCTCTAAGTGACCGTGTTGGAATAATATTTACGCGCGTAAACAGCAACTAACTTGAAGAACTTGTCGGCCGTTCTGAACTTCAGTTTGGAGTATCATCCCCCTGTGGACGTTGATACAGTAGTGTAGACCCTTTCGGAGACACCTGCACACAATCCTTGCTACTTAGTCTTGCTATATAATGCTCAGCATTAAATGCTGTTATTTACTAACAGTACGGGAATATATGTTTGCTTTCCTCAACTGAGCTCGTAGGTTTCCTCACTATTTTTTGAAAAATCACACGATTTTGGGTAGAAGTATACAAAAATCAACGATAGTCTCTCAAGATTTCCATAATTCTAGCAACACATGTACATATATTCCCACACTGTTTACTAAGTTACTGGAAACTACATTGTTGTGTTTATCACGGCTCCTAAGACCAAGGCCAATCAGTAGCATTCACGCGTATATCGTAAATGTACCACTTTTTGGTATCTTGATTGCAATGCCTCTCAAATCATTCACATTTCAATCACTGATTCCGCGTCGTACTGGTTTCTATAAGCGCCTAGCGAGCTTCGATGAGTTCAACCGAATCAACGCGAAGGTCCTGTCGGTCGTTTCGTTTCGTGTCGGCAGTCTGATGATTGAGCTGCGGTTGGGAAGGTACCTCACACCGAGATCATCTCGTTTGTTCTCATCAATGGTCGTGAAACTCCGTGGCAACACAACACCTCAAATGCTCGAGTAATTACTAATCGTATGACTATCTCAGGAAAGTGACTTCTATGAATTAACAACAGCAGAATCGCTGTGTACGAAATACGGACTCATTTACAGACGAATACTCAATCATCTGAGAATTTCAAGCAAAGGCGCCCAAGAGCTCCTCGTCAGAATCTTCATCACGACCAGCGTCTACGACTTCATCATTCCATTGGCGTCGATGACGATCAATAGCTTCCGAATCTGCCAAGTCTTGGGCAACCTTGTAATCATCAACAACTGAATTAGCGCCGCTCCGTCTCGATTCATTCGATCTTTTCCAATCAGAACCGCGGCTTTCGCACCATCTATTTCGCCGATCAGTGTTGTAGCCTTTCCTACTCCTGAAAAACTTCCAACCTGTTTTCTCCCATATCCTCTACGCTCACCAAGAACCATAATTCCTATTGTCATTCTTCCTTTCACAAGGCTCATGACGACTCCACGTTCTCTCGCTCTGCCACCCACCACGTGAGTAAATAGAGCACCTGATACCACTCCTCCTCCAACTGCCGCGTACGGTACACGCCATTGTAGTAAACTACAAAATCCAAGGAAGAACGACAAAATCTAAGGAGGTTCGTCGCTCGCTCTCAGCAGTTCGAGTTTCTGGTTGCCTTTGATAGCAGATTTCATCTGTATAACAGTTCGGGTTTCTGGTTGCCTTGTCGGGTTTCGGGTGGGGTTTCGGGTTTACCCTTCAGAGGCACACAACAAGACGTCATCTAGCTCAGAACATTTTGGTAGATCTCATGCGATACCCTACTTCAACAATTGTTGAGTTTTGAACTACGCCGATCACACGAAAAATGAGGATAAGAAGTTCACACACCCATGAAAACAACCAAATATTGTGTGATGAATATATCTTCACTTTCTTCACCTGAGCTCAGCAGTTCACCCTATTCAAAATATGTGAATTACACACGACTTCGGGTAGAAGTGTACAGAAACCAACAATAATTTCCCAAAATTCACTCCAGCCCAGACTCACACGTTGTAATCATTCCTCTGCCGCTTCTTCTCCTAAACCAAAATCTTGCAATCTTACGCCCACTTGCATTTCCTCAACGTCTTACCCAATCACCCTTGTTATTCATTCTAGGTTGTACTTTCACTTCTCGAGGAGTGTCAACAGTCGATGCCTCGGAAACTCTCCTTTTACGTCCACTCCACGAGGACTCCATCAGCGCCGGCTCTCGACCATAATGCTTTCTGAAAATGTGTCAAAATTATGGTATTTCGAAAATGTCATTATTGCAGTTTTACGTGAAGTGGCGGCGTAAAACTCGGTGAAAAACGCGATATTCGCGGCATGTAGTAGTAGTGAAATATGTTTCTCATATCACTAGGGTCAAGAAACTCCCTTATATCGATAAAAACCCCTCCCAAGGCCTACTCAAGCTTGTGCCTGCGACCGTTGATGTGAATGCTGATTTTATCAGGGGTCTCCATCGACACCTTACACGTCGTACAGTAATACCAACCAGCCGTCACACCAGGCACGTTCTGACCTGAGGTGTAAAAGGATTTTACCAATTTTTCCCTGAAATTTTGAAAATTTTCCTACTAATCGAACCTTCCAAAACTCACTAGGACGGACAATTTTGTAGAAAAATTTTCCCTCATTTTTCCGCGATTTTTTCCACATTTTTCCCGGTGATCTTATACCAATTCCATCCCGCTTATACTCACTCCGACGGGAATTTTTCGGAAAAAAATTCCCATTTTCTCGGGAAAATTTTCCCACTTCCTAACAGAAAACTTACCATCAGTTCTGATGATCTTTTCCTGCCTTAGTTGATGTCTGGTCGGCAAATGACTAATGTCAGGAGCCGTGGGCCACTCTAGATCCTCAGTGTAATCAGCCAGAAGACCTAAATCGATCACATGATCGATAAAAATATAATACTCTTTCCAAATTTTCCCGGAAAAAATTTTTTCTCGGAAAAAAATCTTACTTCCAAATTCTTCTTTCTCCCATCGTCGTCTCATAGCGTTTTCCTTATGCCGATGAGTTCCGCAATGGTCACGCGCCTGAAAATTCACCAACAATTTTTATGAAGGATAACTGGAGTTTCACAACTACCCGTTTTACGTGAAGTGGCGACGCGATATTCAACGCGGTGATATGCAGTAGTCGTGAAATATGCTTTTCATATCACTAGGGGGAAACTTCATTGTGGTATGAGTAGTCTACTAGTGATATGTGGAATGGCTCTAATACTACAGAGTGTGTTATACGTATATAATGGAGTTCCACAACTACCCGTTTTACGTGAAGTGGCGTAAAACGCGATATTCAACGCGGTGATATGCAATAGTCGTGAAATATGTTCTCCATATCACTAGGGTCAAGAAACTCCAATAATATCTATATATTCATAAATACTGCATATTAGTGATCTATTCCATCTATACCATTTACTATATTCGCCTTGATATGCAATGGTTTGTTTTCACTACATTTTGTCGGTATTTCATTAAAGCCATGGGTAAAACATTAACCAAATGGGTATAAAATTAAATTTGTCGGAAAAATATTAATTATACACCAATAACTTATGAGTAACGAATGGGATGGTATAGCTTAGCTAATATCTTAGCTGATACAAATGGGAACAAGGGAGACACAGATGTGCATACCGCAACAGTCTCAACTGACAACAGTTAACGTAATATGTTCCCATATCAGCACACACCTGGAAATGCTGTAGTGTTTTTCACACCAAGCCTTACCTCTGATACCAGCTTGAAGTAATCCTGACACCACTCACAATGATATCTCCTCCACGTTCCGGCCTGCTTAACTGTAATGCCCATATCTTTTAAATAGTCAATACCATACCTAACACACTAACTTCAATTTCCAACAGAATAACCGTACATATGTTGGTGACAATATGAAAACTCATATTTATAAAATTACATATAACGGAGTTTCTTCACCCTAGTGATGTGAAAAACTTATTTTACGACTACTGCAGGCCTCGAATATCGCGTTTTTCGCCGAGTTTTACGACGCCACTTCACGTAAAACGGGGTGTGAAACGCGATTGATGAGGCTCGAAGTAGCAGAACTACAAGGGAGTTTCCCCATTTGTCATCTTTTTAGTGTTGTAGATTTCCGCGATTTTTCTCTCAACAAATTCGCATAGTATGCATAATCCGTCATAATTTCTCGCCTCCTCGCACTTCTAACCTCCTTTCCAGCACACTGGACTGGCCGTCGTTTTACAAGGTCAAGTCCGACCTAGACTCACGGGTACCGAGCTCAAATTCTGGCGTAATAACGAAGAGGCCCGCACCGATCGCCCTTCCCAACAGTTGCGCAGCCTGAATGGCGA